CACTTTGGGATTTACCTGGGGGGAGGCAGGTGAGTCTGATGGAGCGTGCTCGTGATGCTCGAGTGTGATTGGTCACAGATGCCTCAGACGGTAAAGAATGATGGGGTTGATTTCACCTGAGAAATGATCATTAGTCCCAAAAACTGAACCTTGTTCCTCCATCGCCTTTCTTCTTCTCTCCTCTTCACCCTCTCTTTGTTTTTGTCTGCACTGGCTGCTGTCTCTCTTCCATCTCTCTCTACTTCTCCTTTCCTTTCCCTTTCTCTTCTCCTTTTCTCTCATCTGTGTCCTTTCCTTTTCCCTCTCCTACATATTTCCTTTCTTTTTCCTTCTTTCTACTTCTCTCTCTCCTGCCTCATTCCATTTTTCCTCTTCTTTCCTTATCTTGCTCCTACACACTTGTTTCATTACCTTTCTTTCCCACTTTGCTTTCCTCTCTCCTATGCCCTATACTGTACATACTTTGTTCCATTTCTTTGTCCCCTTCTCTTTTCTTCTCTCCTATTTGTTTTGCTTTTCTATTCTTTCACTGGGGGTGGCTGTGGCTCAGTGGTACAGTGGGCTGTCCACCAGTTGGAGGGTTGGCGGTTGGATCCCCAGCCCACATGCTGAACCTCCCCCGGGCAAGACGACAAACCCCAAGGTGCTGCCTGTGGCCTGGGTGCGTGTGTGAGAGAGAGACTGGGCGGCGGCGGCTGTAAAATGGTTTGTCTGGTAGAAAAGCTGATTCACCATTTCCCTTTGTTTTTTAACTTCTCTCCAGAGTAGCTCACTTCATCCCAGACATCATGCCTCTTGTGTCCAGTGACCAGTTTCGAATCAAACCGATGGTTACCAACACCAGACTTATACTGGGAGTACTGGCCAAGGTACTGAAGCACCCATTCAACCCACTACACAGTCTGCTGTTAGCAAACACATTAGAGGGAAAAGGTTGTGCTTCAGTTGTCAAACAGACGAAGGTGATGCTCTCTAAACCTTTCTGATCACTTCCCGCCACTAAAGGAGTGCACGTATACATGAACACGTTCTCTTATGTACATTTTAAACTAAAACCGTCAGAGCATTGTGATGTTGTTGGTACATTAATCAAAGGACAAATGCATGTAAACGTGTCCTTCCTTCCCAGTGCGGCAGTGTGAGAGTAGACTCAGTGGAGGACTTCGCCTACGGATCAGAGATTCTCATCAACACCATGGACAAGGTGACTGAATGTAGAAACACTGGGCGGCTGTAAATCAGTCAGACCTGTACCTGTCTATGCATCATCATGCTGCATGTGCATCCTCCATTGTTTGTAAGCAACTCATGTATAAAGGTGCCACAAAGGTTTTGTATGATTTAAACCTCCAAACCAAATATATTTACCTCTGAATTTAGAAGCATGATACTCAAAAAAACCTGGGTAAAATACCTGACAACTGTCTTCAGTCACTGCAGTAGTTCAGTTCTGTAGTTATGGCTGAGTGACTAACACAAGGTCAGGCCTCCAGACTCAGAAGAGCACAGAGCAGGCTGCTGTTGTTTCTCAGAGGCTGACCAATAGCTTTAGCCACTAATCACAGATTTGTGTTTTCACCCTTGGAGTGAATGTTAATCTGTAGCGTGACCAGCTGCCCCGGTAACTGACAGAGTTAGTGATGTGGTGATGGGAGCGGAAGCAGTTGCAGTGTGTATCAGTGCAGTCACCGGATCCAACTTGTCCCCCAGGTTCCTAAAAACATACCTGCTCTGTCTCTGGTCCAGGTGTGCAGCCGCCCTGCACTGCAGGGGGAGGAGGCAGCCAGGAGGGCTGAGAGGCTGCGGGGTGACGCAGCCTACAGTCTGCTGTGGTACAACTGTGAGCACTTTGTCATGTACTGTCGATACGGCACCGCCATGAGCTTCCAGACGTTTCAGGTGACACTCAATGGCAGATATTAGACCAAACCTCTGATACCAGAACCGCTTCACATGTGTTATACCATCGTTTAGTGTCTCATGACTCAGGGGTTTTCAACCAGTGGTCCGTGGCCCCCTGGTGGTCCAAGACCACACATTCAATAATGTAGTTTCACTGAAGGAATCACAATTTTTAAAATTGTATTTTTTTAAACACATTTCAATATAGTGATTGTTTAATAATCAAATTCATGCAAACATATGAGTTTTGGAGAAGTCAAAGTGACTTTCAGGATTAAAATACTGCTCATCGGGTCCATCTACCCCACAGCTGTGGCCCTCAGGTTGATTCCTAGTCAGAAGTGCGGTAGTTGAAAACCTCTGTCCTAACTGGATACAGCAACCCACCCATTTCTGTGCAGGAGCTCTGGTCCCCGGCTCGACTGATAAACCTGCCCACTTAAAGAAAAAATAGCACCACAGAGGAGAAAATCATCCAGTGTAGCAACACATCTGCTCACAGGTCAGCTCGGTCAAAGGTCACTGAGCTTAAAAATAGGCACAGATTTAGTTCAGCTTCATCTGCGTTTCCGTTGGAATGAGATTTAGACGCTGTGACCAGGCTGTCTGTAGAGAATGTAACATGCTGGTCAGTGTGAGAGCAGCCCTCCTTCCTGTGCCTAACTTCTCATCCTCAGTCACATGTTCTGGTTTCCAAGGCGCCTTTCCAGTAACAACCGGACCTTTAGCCACTGCAGATTAACGTGGATCATAGATCAGACCGGCCTCCCTCTGTAACTGGATTAAACTTCTGTGTTGCAGCAACAGGTGCTCTGTTGTTTCTGTGGAGCTGCTCTCAGCTGCAAATGGGTGTTTTACTGCAGCGTGATTATAAACGTGACAGTGTAATTGTGAAAGAACGAAGCAAACAAGGAGCTGGGTTTTAGACTGAGGGACCCAGTGAGAATGAGGGAGGAAATGGGAAAGAAAAAGGAAAGATGGAGTGAATTTTAGCTAAATGTCAGAGCAGCTTTGGAAGCTCAAACACCTAAAATCTAAGCTTTGGAAGCTCAAACACCTAAAATCTAATGCGTCTAATTACATCACACATACGTCTGTGAGTCAGGGAAAGCCACTGAATCACTTAGTTTATCCATAGAAATAAATCAGTTACTCATTAATAGTATGAGTAGTTTTCAGGTGTGAAGATTTCATTCAGCTTTGGAAATTTCAACTAGTCGATAGAGAAATGAAAAATGAAGTGTTCAGACTGAGCTCTGGTGACCTGGGATTGGCATTGATCTTTATGTCTGACATCTGATAGATCAAATAATTAAGAGCATTCTCATATAATCAGTAGATCTGTGCTATACAAGTTCAGATAGTTGAATGTGCCTTGACCTTTGACCTCTTTACATTGTTGGTAATGCAGTAATGGAAGTTCGTTATCATGGTATATAACGGTGCAGCTGCCCAAACTAGTGGTTTCTTCTGGTAAAGATGGTTAAAAGGATGACATACTAATACTGTATATGCAAAACAAGTGATACGGGAGAACAAAACCTAAGGAGGAAAAACAGTAATATGAAAATGGAAATGTCTTTAAAATGACTTCATTTAATTCTTATTCAGCCTTTCTCCTTACAAAATGACTGACATCCATTGTAGTTTTTATTAAAAGCCAATAACTACAATACCCAGTGTCCTAATCCATTATGTATGTGACGTAAAAGTCTCCAAGGAACAGAGGCTGCTGTATCCGACATGAGTCTCCAGGGGGCGCTACAGACACGGATCATCAGCTGTGTGCTATGTGCTGACACTATCTCTTTTCGTGTCCTCTGCATCAGTTCTGTAAGACAGGCAGGAAGCTGGTGCTGAGTCGGCGTGTTGCCAAGGCGACGGCGGTGGTGGGGGCGTGTCTGCTGGTCTACCTGCGAGCGGTGACCGCCTGCTCCGCCCTGCTGGTCGTCCTGCTGCCTTTCCTCATCTGGATGGCCTCGTAAACACACTGCACGAGCCCGTCTTTGTCCCTGGAGCTCTGCTGACATTATCTACATTTTTGACACAATAATAATCTGTAGAACGTAAAATGTCTGAGGTCTAATAAAGATGGTGTTTCTCTGACATTGTCGAGCACGATTCATATTTAGAGCGAACTATTTGTTTTACCATCACATATGAGAAGACAAATCAGTTTATAGAGAAACTGGTACACATTTAATATCCCATACCTTTATTTTGAACCAGAGGAGCTACAATCACTAGCTACGGCATTTCCCATGTGAACGTACACGTGCACTGATAATTAAGTACTTTCACGGAACTTAAACGTGCAAGGCTTATTTTTCTTTATTGCTTTCAGTTGTTTGAAGTGAAAATGATCATATAGTCATCGGACTGTGTTCAGTTTCATTTTATTACACTCATGATCCAGTTTACCTTACTAGTTTTCATTTTGTTTTATTGTTCTGCAGTCATTTTCTTTTTAAAATGACTGTCCAGACATTTACAAAGTTGAAATGATTGTTTTATTTGATTAAACTTTATTTTCACCAAACGATCACCTTCCGTGTGTGACCTCTAGTATATTACATCTTGTCCCTTTGTTGAAGAAACACCCGGAGCTGACCAGAATTATGGCAACAGCCACTTTATTCTGCGATATTTATAGAGAAACGGGTAAAACAGTTAATGTTTCCGTGGACATTCAGCTCCCACAGTCTGGAGGGATAGCACATAGCATGGATTAGCTAACCTCGGCTAAAGAGGACATAGCACATAGCCTGGATTAGCTAACCTCGGCTAAAGAGGACATAGCACATAGCATGGATTAGCTAACCTCGGCTAAAGAGGACATAGCACATAGCATGGATTAGCTAACCTCGGCTAAAGAGGACGTTTGTCCTAATTGAAAACATAATTAAAATACGTAAAGCAGTGACATAAAACAATCACTGGCTATCCCCACGTTATTCATGTGGTTCTGTGTTCTTTATAATCAATTTAAATGTCTTTTATCCACAGGACACCGCCAACACGTACCTTCTAATAGGGACCCTCCTACTGTGGAACATTACCCGCAAACCCTTTCGTATCTTATTGAATGTAGGTACGACATTCCACCAGTAGGTGGCACTGTTGCTCTATTTAGCAGGATTTAACCAAAATAATCATTTCAACTATGTTACACGTGCACTACGTCAATGTGCTGATTGGCCCACGAAGAATCAGTGTCACGTCAATCACCACCTCATCGAGTTGATTAGAACTGTTTTTGCTACTATCGTTGACGGTAAAGATCTTATTTTCTGTCGACGAGCGCTCAGTTGAACTTTCCAGTGTTTTCTTTGACCGCCCGGTGTTTGAGGCAAACCGGACAGAGAAATGGCGAACGACAGAGCTGGTAAGGGGCGTTAGCCGAGCTAAACAAGCTAGCTGCCGCCGCTACGGTTGGAAGAAGTTTAGCGCGAAACTTCCCGTCAATGACTGTAGCTCGTTAGCATAAAGGACTGCTAGCTAGTTTTTAGCCTGGGAATATATTATATTACTTTAAAAAGATTTAGCGGCTTATACAAACTTGTTCGCAAGCAAACATCCACGTTTCTGTTGGTACATTATGCACAATTCATCGTGTGTCCGCGGCCATTTAAAGCCATTTAAGGGCTTATAAATATAGAAGTTTGTTATAAAAATACAGTTTTATCTTGACACAGTACCCCGTCCTTAGTTTGTTGTTTGGGTTAAAATTAGTTAAAGATGTCTATTAAAATGGTATTTCTTTAATTTGCCAATTGTTCTAGCTGAATTCTTTCCATCTTCAGTTAAGCTGTGAACTGTGATGTTTGGTCTTTGATTTTAGGAATCAGTCGTTTTGATGGTCAGCTGTTGTTCAGAACAGGGACATGTGAATAGACAGACTAACTGTGATGTTTGGTCTTTGATTTTAGGAATCAGTCGTTTTGATGGTCAGCTGTTGTTCAGAACAGGGACATGTGAATAGACAGACTAACTGTGATGTTTGCTGGACAGACAGTGACGGAGATTCAAATGAAGACATGGAGGGAGGCTGCTGTAAAACCAGTCTGCTGGCCGGAGAGAACAGGTTCATGGCGTCCTGTGTCAAAGAGATGGCTCTGCTCACATTAATGGAGAAGACGGGATACAACGTGGTTCAGGAGAATGGACAGAGAAAGTATGGAGGACCCCCACCAGGTGTGTGAGAGGGTGATACCCCTTGGAAATAGTAGGTGCAGTTACTGTCTTGACAAGACATCTCGCTGACCAAATGACTGATCAGGACAATAACTGGCATGTTAATAAATACTGAAAATGATGGGGAGTTGCCGGCAGCCTTAGAAAAAGTGTTGTGTGTCTGTGCTGCAGGCTGGGAGGGCCCAGCCCCCCCACGAGGCTGTGAGGTGTTTGTGGGGAAGATTCCTAGGGACATGTACGAAGACAAGCTGGTGCCTCTGTTTGAGCGAGCCGGCAGACTCTACGAGCTCAGACTGATGATGGAGTTCAGCGGCGAGAACCGTGGCTACGCCTTCGTCATGTACACCAACAGGTGTGTTCTGTTGTGGCACATGACATACACAGTTGTTGAGGAGCTCAGAACAACCTGAGGCCTGAGATTTTAATTTACTTTTTGTTCATGTAACCTAATGAACTAATACATTGAAATCATCATTTTAAATGACAACAGATCTGCTGCAGTGTTTTCAAATGTTTATTGATTATTGAGGTGAAGTCGTATCAAAAACCAAGTCGTTGTTGAAGTCGGGGGTCTCTCCCTGTCACATGATTTCATACATATCTCGCCTTTGTAGCATTTATCCTTTGTGAGATCATTGATTCTCCCGCTGCTCGACACAAGCGCTGCATGTTCTGTACTCTGAGCTGCTACAGTAACACTAGCACAGTTTGCTCCTGCAGCTTTCTGTCCTGTGCACGGCGACCTGTGTCGTTAATAACGAGGCGTGTTTGTACGTTGACAGGAGATCGTACACACACACACACACACACACACACTAGAGCACAGCACAGTGAGAAGTAACAGAAAACTTGCCAAAGATCGGTTTCTGAGGTCCATATTGATTTTACTGTTTTATTAAAGGAACTGGATTTGAATCTGTGGTTTTCAGCCGGTACAGCTGTAAATCGGACTCTTGTATCGATTTTCCTATTGGTATGGGTTTGTCTTTACACCCCTAGTTGAACGAGGTTTGATTACTGATTGCGTTTCAGGGAAGCAGCCCAGAGAGCCATCCAGATGCTGGACAACTACGAGGTCCGGCCTGGGAAGTTCATTGGAGTGTGTGTGAGTCTGGATAACTGCCGGCTCTTCGTGGGCTCCATCCCCAAAGACAAGAGGAAGGATGAGATCATGGAGGAGCTGAAGAAGGTACTCATCACTAGCGCTCGCTCGCCCGCTCCCCTAACAGTTATAGGGACTCAGAAAAAGGTTTGGACCCACATGGAGAAAACTAACATCCTTCATAGACACAGCAGTCAGCAGCTTTTTCATATTCAGCCAGGACTGTGTAGGCATAAAATATACTTTAAGTACCAAAATGGTAGTTTACATTAATATACATCATATTATTCCATTATATATTATTATTTGATGATATATTATTGTGTACATCACCTTTAGCGTTGCAGCTTGTAAAGGTAGAGCTAATGTTAAATACCTTATGTTTATCATTTGAATTACTGCTGAGTCGCTTGTGGATTTACCACCAAGGATCAATAAATCTAATGATTATACTGTATTTAGTTTTATTAACCTCATTCTAAACAGTAATATTAAAGTTATCAAATAAATGTGAGTCCAAAGTATATTTTCTCTGAAATGTAGTGAAGTTGAAGTAAATGAAAATACTCAAGTAAAGTACAGATACCTCAAAATTGTACTTAAGTACTGTACGTGAGTAAATGTACTTGGTTAAACTGGAGTATGAAGCATTTACCAAACCAGTCTAGACCAAATGTGCACTAAACGTACTTTTGGCCACTTTGTGTGTTTTTTCTCATTAACAACATGTAGTTTGTTGGTTCACGTACTCACTGGGATTAAACACATGGAGTCTTTGCATCAGCAGTAGATGTTACTGCAACTGCCTCCACACAGATGCTGTCAACAGTTTATCATGTTTGCCTGTGTGTGTCCCAGGTGACAGACGGGGTTATGGATGTGATCGTGTATCCCAGCTCCATAGATAAGAGCAGAAACCGAGGCTTTGCCTTCGTTGAGTATGAATCCCACAAAGCTGCAGCCATGGCCAGGAGGAAGCTCATACCCGGTAAATGACTCTTTGCATCCGCGAGCTCCATCTCTGTGTCCTCTGTCCTTCTCATTTCCTTCATCACACACAAGTACATCTGTGTGGTAGAAGCTTTTTGTTGATGTCCTTTCTCCCTTATATTCCATCTGTATTCTCTTTGTTCTTTCTTGAGTCTCTGCTGCTCTTATCATCGTCACTGCTGTTCCTCTTCATGTCCTCTGTCTTCACACACCGTCTGCAGCCTGTGTCCCAGCAGCCTGTCAAGTGACTGCGAGTCAGTTTACAGACTTTGTCCAGCAGAGGGCGGTAGAGCACCAAATACTGCAGCACCTGTATCTGTCTGAAGGGGAATTTAGCTTTGTGACTACAGATGGTGACAAGTTAAAGGAAACACCAGGGTAACTGAGTGGTCTCCTCCAGGATGACAGAGCACGCTGTGATTGGTGTGAACCACAGTCCGGTATACAGGAGAATTTAGTGATGTGTGAGGGGGCTGTGATCCAGCTGTGGCTCTGTGCTCAACAGGAACTTTCCAGCTGTGGGGAGGCCCCATCCAGGTGGACTGGGCCGAGCCTGAGAAAGATGTGGATGAGGAGGTGATGCAGCACGTTAGAGTCCTTTATGTACGTATGTGGCAGTTGGATGTAGATGTTGTTGTTTTTTTGTTTTTTTTGTGTGTTGTTCCTAAATATTTTCTAAAATGAGATGGTGTTCAAAGGTTTTACCCTTCGTTGGGTTCTTCAGTAAATCTCAAAGGATCAGAAATAAGGAAATGCAGAAAACAATATGTCACAGGAGGATTTTAAATCCTCGTTAAAACTGAGGTACTTTATTTCTAAGTTGTTTAAGGCCGAGGGATTTCTCTGCCAGAAAACTCGCTTCAAAAAATGTCTAAAGCCTTTCGTTCTGGATCACTCCGACTAAAAGCTCGGCTCTCGCTCTGCAGCTGAAGGTCTGTGTTTTAGGAAGAGGCCTCTGAAGTTCTTGGCAGGTTTGTTTAAATCAGAGGTGAGCGAGGGCGAAGCAGCAGGGAGGAGACTCCCAGGAGCTGTGCACCCTCCAGGGATCAGTTAATGCCAAGGCTTTTACACTGGAAGACTAAGATGTGATCAGAGCTACAGGTGTGTGGGGGGGAGTTGTTTTTAGAGGTAAATGAAGCCATCTGTGTTGTGTGTGCGTGCACTGCTGCACCGATTCACAGTGGCTCTGCTAACGACTAAACACCCGCCGCCCTTCCCTGATGCCCTGAAGCAGGTTGTTGACACTCTGCGGTGTCGGCCTAGTTTGGAGAGAGCCGTGGTGCTCTCATCAGTCACGGCCAGTTTGGCATTTCATGGAAATCAGCAGTGGAATATAAAGAGGAGAAGTCAGGAAATTCCATTAATTCTTGACCCCTTTAGAAAAGAAGTTCAGATCTCAAAGGCTGTCCTGCTTAAGTTTAGCTTCTAATTGAGTTGGAGGTAACTGACTGATCAGGGAGTCGACACTTTGAACATGATACTGATGAAAACTTGGACCCTTTTCTTCTCGGCCACTTCTGAACTCTGAACTCTGACATTACACACATTGCTAAATTCAGGTGAACCCTATAAATCACCGTAGATGTCACAGACAAAAGCTCAGAACCTGCCTGGTAGTCATCATGTTTAGATACGAGTGTAAAGAAACAACCACAAACAAAAATTCATGAGTATCTTTCCTGTGTGTTTGCTGTGTTCATACATTTTTACACAGAACTCAAGCCGAGGACGTGCCACCAACATGGCTCCTGTAGCCACGTGCATCGTGTTAAACACCTGTAGACTTCTCACCTGCAGAGTCCTCAGTCCTGCTAGCAGCTGTGCGAGGCAGTATGTAGGCAGAGTGGTCCATGAAAGGCTTAGCTAAGACATAAAGGGCTGGAAGGTTTACACTGCGTTGTGTGTCACATTGTTGTTTATGACAGAATCACACCAGACGTGGGTAAATATTATAGAACAGTGATGTATACCTGTGTGCCAGGTGCGCAACTTGATGCCGAGCACCACTGAGGAAACTCTTCGTCTGGAGTTCTCCCGCTTCAAGCCCGGCTCTGTGGAGCGAGTCAAGAAACTCACCGACTACGCCTTCATCCACTACAACAGCCGTGAAGACGCCATCACTGCGATGAGCCTCATGAATGGAGCTCAGATCGAGGGAGCCACCGTGGAGGTGATGCTGGCCAAACCGGCCGGGGTCAAAGAAGGAGGTGTAACCGGGAGGAAGTACAATAGCAGGGGATACCTGGGAAACGGTGCAGGAGGAAAAGGGACCGGGACGATTGTTCTGCACAGGAACGATGGAGGGACGATGGGAGGAGCTGGGGACGGCTGCTCGCCACTGAGATCTGTGTCCCTCCCGCCCTGCCTGAGGAGCCCCTTCTACTCAAGAGCTGCAGGAGGTGAGTAGGGGGGGGTTACTGTCGGTGTGTGAGGGCCTGGAAACAGCAGATTATGTTAGTCAGTAGATAAAACGTAGTTGTCAACCATTTTATTCATTGGTAAGCATCATTGATCAGCTGAAATGCCAGTGAATCAGTACATTGAAAGTATAAAACTGTAAAATGATCGAGTCCTTTTTTTACAGTTGGCTCAGTGTTATGAAATCGTGCAGTCAGTGTGATTACTTGTCATAATGTTTTTATCATGTGTTTATTTTGATGAAATTCAGTTCAGTGTTGCTGGGTGTGTGACTGGTGCCTGCTCGCCTTCTGAGACGTGTCTGTGCTAAACACACAAACAGAAAAACATAAACTATTCATTAGTTGGAGCTCTAGTTACTCAGTGTTGTTGAAGGTCAGTTTTGTGTCTTTGGTGGAGTGAGAAATCAGGTCTGACCTGCCACAGGAGTTGTGCTCTGAGCCACCTCTGTGTGCTGTCGGCTTCACAGGAAACAGTTGTGAGGCTTTATTTTCCACATAGGGAGAGAGGAACACTCAGCGTAAGTCACAGATTTCATGTGAGGACAAAGGAATTGTTGGAGAGACTGTTGTATGAGATCACAGTTTAAACTGTTCATGTGCAGCAAGGACGACTGGATATTAATGGTGAGTGACTTCATGTGGAGCAGAGTGATTATATCTATCTTAGAACTGCAGCAGGGTGCAGGACGTTTTTACAGTGAGATCCTTTCTTTGCTCTGGCCTTTTCTAACTGTTCTGTAATCAAATGGCAGGGTGGTTTGGACCACATGTCTCTCATTTGTAAAGCCAAGCAGCGGCCGTTTGTGCTCGACCTCTTCAGGCTTTCTGGTGAAGTCCAGCCTCTGTTTGAGAATGCTCTGTGTTTACCAGGCTGCTGTAAAACCCTCCTGTGTAATTTAATATGATGACATTTCAGTGTTATCCTGTAGGTTGGAGGAAGTTTTGTCTTATCTGTTACAAATGACACTCATCAAATCCTGCTCATACAGCCAAGATAATAATCTGGTCATGAAGCAAAACTCCAGTTTCGTGGCGCTTGGGGCTATTTCTGAAAATGAGAAAAGTTTTTGATTTAACTCTCACACAAATGGACTGTGAAATATTTATGAGCTGAAAGATGTGGTAGCTCAGTGGTACTGCTACAGCCGAGGGTAGCAGGCTGATGTGGGGTGGTGGAGCTGACACAGTGGACGGACGAGACATGAGGAGGACATTCGCAGCTGGACAGAGGTGTACGAAGGATGAGACGACGTGCAACCAGACTGATGGAGTAACGGTGTTTTAATGACTTGAGGAGCAGTGAAATGTTGAACTGCTTTACAATCTGAACATTGTTTGCTTAGTTAATCATTCATTGATAAGATTTTCTGTCCCCTGGGCTGGGAGACAAACCATGGACATTACAGTTCAACTGGTCCAGCAAACCAACAGTCCACAGCCTTTTCAGTTTTGGCATTTGTGCTTAAAAATAATTTGACAATCAAAAACAAAACAGTTTGGTGGTTGAGGAATGGTTGCAGCTCTAAAGCGGTTTGCTCAGCGTCACTGTGATCAGTTGTCGTTCATTTTTTGTTTTGTAAAATTAAAACATTGCAACAAACAGATTAAAGTCTAGAAAACCAAACAGCCCTTTGTGTAGTAGACATGTGCACCTGGAAGAAAAACCTGTTTCCTAGTGTGTAAATCACTTCACACCCTGTTGAGTATAATATGACCCTGAGGTGGTGAACACCGGCTGGAGTCAGACCAGGAGTGTGTGTTTGTCCCAACAGGAGCTGAGCTCTGATATAACAAGTCTGCTAATGCTAATCCTGCCTTTATTGTCAGATGACGTGGACAGGTGTGTGTTCCCCCTGTTTCCTGGCACCCCCCTGGCCCCCACCAGCCTGCTGTCGCTAAAGCAGAGTCAGATCAGCTCCGCTGTCAGTCTGCTCGACTATTACTGCCACAAAAACTGCTGGTCGCAGCCCGAGTACCACCTGTACTCCACCCCCGGACAGGACGGGAAACTGCTGCTGCTCTATAAGGTCTGCACATCAGTGAATATGGCTTCTCTAGTGAGAGGACCTAATGCTTTTTGTCATACAAGACCTTCAGCTGAACTGTTGATTGGACGAAACAGGACCTTTGAAGACGTAACCTAGATTATCTGCTGTTTTATAGACAAAGCCTTTAATATGGTAAAGTGAGAAAATCCTCAGCAGACTAACTGATGATGGTTGCAGCAGCTTAACCTTCTTCACCTCAGCTCACTGAGACCTACAGGCCGTGTGTGTGTGTGTGTGTGTGTGTGTGCGTGTGTGTGTTTGTGATCCCGTCCACACGAGGCACCTACATCCCAGACAAGCTGTGTGTGCTGCTGGATGACGCCAAAGAGCTGGCTGCACAGACTGCGCTGTGGAGGCTGGGTACTGCTCAACACTCACACAGTGCAGAAGTATCAGTCCAGCTTAACATGCATATGTTCATGAACACCCAGCTACAGTCTAAATACACTAAAACAAACCACATAAAGAGATTTGTGCTTTACTGGACGTGTGTTTCAAACATCGTGGTCTACTTTTTTAATAGAAAATACTTAGGGCGCTTACTAGGTGGGCGGTTTCGTATATGTGTGTCACGGTGGGCCTCGACTGTTCCTGTGAGATGTATCCAGGACCGTTTCAGTCCTAAATGGGGTTAGTGTTGCCTTCGTCCAATAGTTTTTGCAAATTATTTGTCAGTTTTCTTTCCGCCTGTGTCATTTCTTGAATCAGGAAAACTGAAACACCGCCACACAACAGCTCTAAAGTCGATGGAGCATCTGCTATGTCCGTTTCAACTTCTGTGACCTGAACACGGTTAGACCAGTGAAGTAACCATGTTTAACACTAGAACCGCCAAGAGGTTATCAGACAATACTCCACAAGAGCCGCCACCCACAGATGGCCAGTCGTCGTCTAACCTGTTGGACCTGGCTGGCATCAGTGTATGCGTTCTTTACCGGAGCTGCACAAAAACCAAACTTGCTAGGCGCGACTTCCTTCTGCAGTTGTGTAAGGAATTACACAGCAACCACATGCAAATGAAAGAGGCAACGGAGACTGTGCCACTGCCCCTTCAAACAGTGGTGCGAGGTCAAAATGACCTCACGGCGGTTCTAGTGTTAATATCCTGGTAGATGACGTCACACTCCCATAACATTAGCAACATTACATATATCATTACATCCCTGGAAAAAGGTCCTCAGAAGATATCAAAAGTCTAGCAGTAAATTTAATTGGGTAGGCAGTAATGTTATGAAACGCTAGTGGATATGACGGAGGGCTGTCGGGCTGTAGAGACAGTATTGTTCACAGTGGTGTTGGTGCCGCCTGATTACAAACAAGAGCTTCTCAGTTTTAACATAAGATGAAGTGTGGCTGAAGCAGGTTGACGTCCCGTCACTTGACTCGTGCCTTTTAATGCACTGTGTTCACAGAGCTGGACTCTCTTCAGCAGCCTGGAGCTAAAGCAGCATGTTTTAACTTTTCAGTCCTGGTCTAACCATCATCTTCATTCACAGGCTTTGTTATATTTACATTATGTAGATAAGGGGAGTTGTACAGCATGGAACAGAACTAAAACAGTGTATGATAAGATGAAACCATTCTTTTATCATTTAATTTGTAGACTGACGTACAGGAAGAGACATTTTCACTTCTCAGCTGCTCCGTTTCACTTTAGTTACTAGGTCATCTGAATGCTGAACGGAGACTTGTTTGACCTCAGAGCGGATAGGACAGAAAGGGACCTGTCTGGTAGCCAGTTCGTGTTGTGTATGGTCTGAACCGTGTCACAGCAGCTGTCGGTCTGAGCTGGTGCCAGCTGGAGCTCGCTCTCAGCCAGTCACATCCCCGCCGGTGCCAGTGTTTGTCATAGCCCAGCTGCAGGAACAACATGTGGTACCTTTTTTGAGGAGTTCTGTTCAAAATGAGATCACCTGCAGAGTGATCGTGCTGCTTGGATGCAAATCAGGACTCCAGCAGATGTGTTGAAACATCTGCCTTACGAAGTGGTTCACAGTTGGTGAACGATGTGCAGTGAACATATTTATATAGAGTGACCTGGAGGGAAATATTGGTGTTGATGCTGTGGACTGAGAAGCTGGAGTCCACTGCTCCAATGCCGAGGGCTGAGTTATACCAAACAACAGGTGTGTTGTACAGTATGGAGGGGGGGGGCAGTGGTGCATATTGTCACACTGAAAAGTCATATGAGGAATGAAGACGGTGTGTGAAGAGCTGCAGAGGTTTTAGACGGCACAGGTTTGTGCTTGACCACGTTTGTTTCAAGCAAATGCTTTTCAGTCAGAGCTGCTTAGTTTATTATTAAAACTACATTCATTCATTCATTTTCTACCGCTTAGTCCCTGAACGGCGGCACGGGGCCAGGGGGCCAGGGGGCCGGAGCCAATCCCAGCCGGCATTTGGGCGAAGGCGGGGTACACCCTGGACTGGTCGCCAATCCATCACAGGGCTAACACAGAGACGAACAACCACACACACGCACGCACATGAAAATGAATATTAAAATGACAGATCTATTGAAACTGTCCAACTCAGAGGAGATGTGGCTGTTTGCACGCTCAGTTTTTAACCCCACGGGGTGAGTCCAGCGCTTGTAGGGTTTTCCAGCTTTGCCTTATCGTACTTTCCTACAAAGACTGTTTACAGTGAGGCTTTTGAATGTCAGACAGGAAAAGGCTTTGTCGTGCCACATACTGTGGTCATCACTGACTCATTTTTATAAGAAGATATGAGAAGACTCCCATGATGCTCTTCTTCAGACACACAGCTGTTCAGTCCCTCAGCTGTGTCTCTAGAGAATGAAGCTTAAGTGCAGCACTAATTCACTATTTGTGCAATAAAGCAGGACTGAAAGAAGCCTTCACATCAGTGTGAGAAGGAAAGGAGCTGTGGAGAGAGCAGTCACAGAATGGGTCATTTCAGAGCCCGAGCAGGCTGAAATCTGATTCACAGTTAAATGGTTTACTTAATTGACTCGCAGGAAGCTGCAGCTCTCATGTCCCTGTGGTCCGAAGCATCGACCACCAGCCAACACAAACACAATTAAAATGTTATTTTGAACACAATGTTATTTTGAAAATGTGGAGAGTGGAGAGTGCATGAGCTACAGGAAGCCGCCCTGTGGTGGGCGCTTTCAGTCCAACACCCGTTCTTTTACCATGCTTCAGATGCATCTGCTAGTGGCAGAGCCTACCAGACGGGACCATTTCCCTGTCCCCACTTCTCCCCATGTCTTCTCTCTTCCTCTCCAGCCTTGTTCGTCCTTCATCCGTCGTCTTTCTGTAGCTTCATGTGTCAGACCCTCCAGGATCCCATGGGCTATTGTTTCTGAATATGTCAGCCCCAAAATGTCAGAACGTGCAGCAAATGTTACTCTTATCTTGTTGTGTTTTATAATAAACAAGTGTAGGTCAGTTAAAAAGTGAGTGCTCCACCCACCTGAGGACAAAGCTCCTCCTCAGAGTTTTACCTGTGCTAACCTTTAGCCTCATCTTTTGACAAGCTGTCAGAACTATTACAGGTTTGACTGAGTTTGGTTTTCTTGAGGTTTCTGCCATTAAAGGAGTTTTTCCTCTCCACTGTTGCCCCGTCCCTGCTTGGGGGGGGGTTGTTGGACTAATCCTATAATATTGAAAACCCTCTTTTCTCACTAGCCTCCTTATATCCTACAGTACCCCCTCTCTGTCACCTCCCTCCCCCCTCTGTTTCCTCTCTTCCAGACTCATCCATCCTGAGCACAGCTGCCTACAATTCTCCCAGCAGCCTCTCTCCTCCACTCGCTGCCCCCGCCTCCGCCGCCAGCCCTGGCATCCTGACCTGCGGCAGCAGAGCCTTCACCTCCTGCCTCCCTCTCTCCCCCCTCTCTTCTGTGTCCATGCTCACCCCTCCTGCCTCCCAGTCACAGAGGCTCTACTTCAGTTCCCAGTCGCCGTTCTACTGACGGTGAGACGCACACAGTGGTGCTCACCGTGTCTTCAGGGTTTCACTTCTTTCCTGGTTGTTCACTGGTTGTTTTACAGCAGGTCATAGTTTTTGAAGCCGACCACACCGTTCATATTTGGGTAACTCTTCGTAGCACGGGCAGAAGAGCAGGTGGTGACGGGTAAAAGTAGTTCAGGGCGGCACTGGGTTGCTTCTGATCGCTGCCGTACCAGCTGGTCACACAGCAGCCTCCGTTCGATTCTGGTGTGTTTACGGAAGGTGTGAGTGGAGCATATCCCTCTGCCGCTGCAGAGTTCCTCTGGTGTATTTGACAAGTAAACAACAACATGTTAACTGAAGCTCATTGCTCACCGTTAAGATTCAGTAGGTGCATCACTGTCAGACACCTTCACTTTGTCACACTGTCCTTCAGCATAGAAATAAGGGTTATAGGCAGGTTGAGGGACAGTGGGTGGCTCTCACTGTGGCCGCAGACTTTGTTTGCTGCACATTTCTGCTGTTTGTGTTTGGACATCGGCTGCATTTGGAGCAGGAGCATGATTTGACCTGTGTGTTTTGACTTTGAGGGCCACAGTGAGCTTTACATGGATGCCACTCGAGCTGATACCATTTCATCCAGTGATGCTCAGATGTGCTGTGTTGTTTCAGGAGGATTTTTCTCACCTGAGATGTAGCGACGAGAGGACGACCTACAGCGGAGGAGGTGAATGGAGGGGAAGACGATCAGGAGCATGAGGAGAAAAAACAGGACTGTCTTTATTTTGACTACACCACCAAATATCTCCCAGTGGTGCTGCTGTGATGTGCCGCCCCATCGTTTGACCTTCACATGCTCAGCACCACCAATTTGTTTGCTTCACTCCATCTATTTCAAATTTAATGTCAGTCTGAGATAATATTTAGCTTCTGATAAGCCACTCAGCTTCTTTTCTCTATGGCCTCTGATAAACAGAAGGAGAACAAAGATGGGAACTGTTTAGCTTTTACAGCAAATCCAGCAGATAAAACTTTTTTTTTCTGAAACTCTGTTAAATGTCAGAGTGTCCGCCTCCCTTTCCTGCCTCCCCCCTCATAATGCCACATTCCCTCTCAGTATAAATGTTTACCATTAAATAAGGTGCAGGTTGCAGTTTAACCTCTTACCTGGGTGCTACAGGACTATTGTTCATGTAAAAGGATCATTTCCTAAAACTAATTTTGTCTAATTCATATAAATTTGTCAAAGTTTTAGACATGAATGAAATCCGATTGTTCTTCTCTGCAGTAATTTAAACAGAGAAGTACATGTTAAGATAAGTGTTGAGAGCGTGATTAGAACAGAAAAGCAACATTAGTCTGATTTCCATTTTCTCTTCATCCTCCCAGTCTCTCCTTTCTGGCAAGAGCCAAAGTCAAAGGGAGAGGGAGAAGGAGAAGGAGAGGAGGGTGACTTATTTTTCCAAAGAAATGTTTGTAGCTACGATCCCTTTGGAGTCTGTTAACCCAAGTTGTCAGAGGGGCTGAAAGAGTCGACGTCCTGGGAAAGCTGAGTCTCTTTGAGCCTCTGGTCATGGTAGACAAACCTTCAGCTCAGGAAAGAAGACGGCAGGAAGGTTTTCCTAGTCTGCCTGACCCGCCTAACAGCCGTGGTCTTCTCAGGAGGGGGGAGGAAGACTATGATGATGCTGGTTAATGATGCCTTGGAGGACAGTTTTAAGATATTTTCATCCAGACCCCTTTCTGTTCTTATTTGAACTACATTTTCTGAGAATAGGGGAGCTTTATGAAAAACGACTGTGTTGGGAAGGTTTTCAGTGTTTTGATATTTTCTAGCTGTAGCGTTGTGAGGAAGGAAGTGGAGACGTGTGAGGTGCATCCTTTTACAGACGCACCATTTCCTAATTGGACCTAAAGCGGTTACTTTATTTAGTGTAGTTGATTTTTAGAGGAGGTTCATCAAAAGAACAGCTACAAGTTAATGTCCCTTTATTTTTGAATGAGTTCTTAGTTTGACAGTTGTGATGATTTTACACTCTGAATGAAATCCTCTGTACAGGAGCAGCTTCGACCTGAAACTAACTGACTAGTTGGTTGACAGAAAAATTAAACATTTTAATACAAATACAGTGAAAAAAAGCCAAATTTTCACTGGTTGTGAATGAGAAGATGTGTGTGCTTCTCAGTCATATATCATAGTTTTCTGGCTAAATGATACTTCAATTAATTTACATAATAAGTAGCATTTTAATCACTTATGAAAGCAAGTGTTGGTGTCGACCTACAGCAATTCATAGGATGAATTTTTCCCATTTTTACTTCCAGTTTTTCTTTTTAAGGAAACTCTTGTCCAAATTAGTAAATTACATGTGAAACAATGCATCAAAAATAAAACATGCAGTTTTCAGTATTGTTCAGTGTTTAGCCAACACCATGAGAATCTGCCACCAGACTAGTTTCCACAGCAGAGTAGAACCGGTTCTGGACCAGCACTCAGACCTTTATTTAAAGTGACTTGTCTGAGCCCTGGAGAGGATGACGAACGTGTAGGTGTGTGTGTCTTTATCAGAGGAAGAGGAACAGGAAGCTGAGCGGTGCCGCTGCTGTTCGTTGTTCTTCTCAGAGCTAGACAGGAACCAGCGTTTTACTGGCTCTTAGTGACGCATCGGATTCGCTCACAGAGACGAGTGTGGAGGTCAAACGAGTGTGTTCATTGTCCAGCTTCATGTAGTTTTACTGATCCATGGATCAAACAGGAAGCTGAAAGACGAGCGTGAAAGGATGTTCACCGACTTGTTGACACTGACGAGCTGATGGATGTTCGTGTCCTGGGTTCAGGCTCTTTGGGGCTTTGAGCAACGTTAAAATGTCTTCATGTATTTAAAGATTGTTTGTACAGTTTTACTTTACGTTCAGTCGGACTGAATATTTAATGGTCCACTCGTTTTGTTCAGACTGTGTTGAAAGCTCTTTGTTCAGGTAGAACATGTTTCTCTGCTTGACTTTGTTCATATTAGAGAACGTAAGGTGTCATTGAGGAAAAGGTTTTTCACATTACTGTTGAGCCTGAATGTGACAGAAGTTAAGTTCAGAACCATTTCTCTTGTTTTATTTAACAAATCCAAACTGCCAAGTGATTTTAGTTTCTTCTGTTTTTAATCTTAGTGTGATTGGTTTACTGATACAACAAATAATTAAATGAACACCTACATTATTTATTTAACAATCCAGATACCAAACCTAATCAAAAGTAAAAATCAGGAGAGAGCCACTAAAAGTCTGTGGAGTCAGTTGGTGTGAATAAATATGACCCAGGTTGTTGATACACTCTGACCCCACGTTAATTAGGAAAATGTTGCTGTAGTTATTTAGTGATTTAGAAACACAGTGTTGAAATGTCAGGTGGCCGTGTTGCCTTCAAGGACACAGTGTAAATAAATCTGTTGATTCATTTACAGTCAGTGTTTTGTGTGTCAAAGCCTGAGTGTTTTAAGACATTTCACACTGAGTGCTTTGCCCTCGGGGAGTTTATATCCAGTATGTTGTGGCGTGTCCTGGAGCACCTGGGGCAGGAGTCTGTT